GTAAAAAAAAACATGTTCATGTGCATAATCAGAAGTCTTGCTAAAGAGCTGCCAAAGTATAAATGATATAATGCAATATTTCAGGTTTAAACATTTGTTGTCTTTTCAATCAACGGGTACAAAAGTTTGAAATGAATGTTCAGGGAGTAACAGGTCTTTCTACATCTAATTAGTAGACCAAGAGGCCACACTAGGAAGATAATCCACTGCTATATTCTCCTAAAAATCAGTATACTTTTGTGTGTAAATAGAACCAAAATGTTTTTGGGACTTCGTAGAGGATGTAAATATGTCTTGCCAAAGAGCTGAATTTTTTTTTTTATGATTGTGCCAAAGTTCATTTACAAAAGCTTAAAAATAAAGAATGTTTAGGGAGTAACTGGTCATTCTACATCTAATTAGTAGACCAAGAGGCCACACTAGGAAGATAATCCACTGCTATATTCTCCTAAAAATCAGTATACTTTTGTGTGTAAATAGAACCAAATTGTTTTTGGGACTTCGTAGAGGATGTAAATATGTCTTGCCAAAGAGCTGAATTTTTTTTTTTATGATTGTGCCAAAGTTCAAGTACAAAAGCTTAAAAATAACGAATGTTTAGGGAGTAACTGGTCATTCTACATCTAATTAGTAGACCAAGAGGCCACACTAGGAAGATAATCCACTGCTATATTCTCCTAAAAATCAGTATACTTTTGTGTGTAAATAGAACCAAAATGTTTTTGGGACTTCGTAGAGGATGTAAATATGTCTTGCCTAAGAGCTGAATTTTTTTTTTATGATTGTTCCAAAGTTTCAAGTACAAAAGCTTAAAAATAACGAATGTTTAGGGAGTAACTGGTCATTCTACATCTAATTAGTAGACCAAGAGGCCACACTAGGAAGATAATCCACTGCTATATTCTCCTAAAAATCAGTATACTTTTGTGTGTAAATAGAACCAAAATGTTTTTGGGACTTCGTAGAGGATGTAAATATGTCTTGCCAAAGAGCTGAATTTTTTTTTTTATGATTGTGCCAAAGTTCATTTACAAAAGCTTAAAAATAAAGAATGTTTAGGGAGTAACTGGTCATTCTACATCTAATTAGTAGACCAAGAGGCCACACTAGGAAGATAATCCACTGCTATATTCTCCTAAAAATCAGTATACTTTTGTGTGTAAATAGAACCAAAATGTTTTTGGGACTTCGTAGAGGATGTAAATATGTCTTGCCAAAGAGCTGAATTTTTTTTTTTATGATTGTGCCAAAGTTCAAGTACAAAAGCTTAAAACTAAAGAATGTTTAGGGAGTAACTGGTCATTCTACATCTAATTAGTAGACCAAGAGGCCACACTAGGAAGATAATCCACTGCTATATTCTCCTAAAAATCAGTATACTTTTGTGTGTAAATAGAACCAAAATGTTTTTGGGACTTCGTAGAGGATTTAAATATGTCTTGCCAAAGAGCTGAATTTTTTTTTTTATGATTGTGCCAAAGTTCAAGTACAAAAGCTTAAAACTAAAGAATGTTTAGGGAGTAACTGGTCATTCTACATCTAATTAGTAGACCAAGAGGCCACACTAGGAAGATAAACCACTGCTATATTCTACTAAAATCAGTATACTTTTATGTAAATATTACAAATGTTATTGGGATTTCGTAGTTGGATGGAAATATGTCTTGCCAAAGAGCTGCAAAAGCTTGAAAAAAAAGTATGTTCAGGGAGTAACAGGTCTTTCTACATCGTAACTAGTAGACCAAGAGGCCACACTAGGAATATAATCCACTGTTATATTCTCCCAAAATCAGTATACTTTTGTGTAAATAGTATGTTATTGGGACTTCATACAGACCCTAAATATGTCTTGCCAAAGAGCTGCAACTCTTTTGTGCCAAAGTAACTTATATAGAAACTTTAAATAAAAATTCAGGGAGTTAAACGTCTTTCAATATTGTAAATTCACATGTTGTTTTTACTGTATCTTTGATTAATACCTATATATTTTTTGCAATATTGTGTGCTCTCCTATTTCAAAGCCTTTTACAAGAATATTTTAAAACAAGCTAGGTTATTTACATCAGTGTGTGAGACATATTGACCATGTGTCATAGTGTAATATTGGTTTAATTTATTTCTTTTAAATATAGAAATAAATATGTGAAGATTGTATGTTTGTAAACCTTTGTATACAAACCTAACACTTTTATCAAACCTGCAAAGGTGATGTTCCAGGGTAGGATATTAAATGCATTCATTTTGTTCTTTATATGTGTGTGTTGAGTTTCATTTATTTATTAGTATTGCCAAATAAAACAGGTATATATCACTTTCAGCAAAGTATTCAAATTGCAATGGCATTGGGATTCACTGCAGTGATTTAAACATTGCAGTTTCAATGAGGATTATTCTTAATTATTTGTCATTTGAATAGCAAATAGTGTGACAGATGATGGATGATCAGAACTTCACATGATCTTATGATGTTATGCATTATAAAAGGATATACAGTAGAGTTATGTGATGAAAGTGTAAAGGCAAACCCAGTGGTTAATTATTTAATGTATAACAAATACTTGATTTTATTACTTTTTTAAAGTCAAACACACACACACGTTTGCAAAGTAAGGGTGCAAATAAATAGTCTGTCATTCTTGATGTGTACCGGTATGTTAAAGGAAATCACAGATGGTCTCTTACTAGGATTATAAGGCATGCATGGGTAATGGTTTTAAATTTTTAACACATGGTTCTTAATTTAATTATATTCTGTTTTTTCCAACTGATTCCTGGCCGTATTCTCTCTTTTTAGACTAAATCATTTTCAATATAGAACACGTGACAAATGACTGCTTTACATATACTTTTCACATCATATTTTTATTATGTTCATCCACAAATACGAGGACATTTTTGTTTCCACTGACTACACCAATAAAAGATTATTTAAACATTAAAGCAACCCAAAAATGCATAACGAAAAGCAATCTTGGTAGTGAGACCTATTTCTACACATCCAAAATGTCCTTGAATCATCCCTTCCATTATATCTCTTCAAGAGTGAGCATAGTTTTTGTTTAGCTATCACAGGCTCCTTATGGAAGCTCCTAGTAGAGCCATGATTTCTGCGTTTTGGGGGATTGCATGTTGATTGATCTAGCAAAATGACTTTCTTACTATTAAATGTAGTTTAATATCATTTTTTTACTAAAAATTGGACCAAACAAATACATTGCACTGCTTAGATTTTAGCATTTGGAATCCAATAATTTACCACAAGACTTGTATTTATTTCCACCTTAATGCATATTCTAGATCTCAAGCATGTATTATTCTGATATGAATCGCTCTGAAAGCAACTACATGTACATGTTCATGGGCTTTAGACAAGGAACATTGCCATCTCGATACTACAGCTCAATTGTTCAGGTGAAATAGTCAGGTAAATGCCAAAATTGCATTTCTTAAAACTGTTACTATAGAAATACAGGTAGGCAGTTCTGAACTATACAAGCCTTCGTTTATATTACAAAGAGGAACAACACCCCTTTCCAAATCAAAGAAAAGAAATGTTTTGTACGATTTGTTATCGCAGCTGTTTAGGGGCATCCTAAAACAAATTGTACGTGTTCACCAAGAATCATATACAGAAGGGTGCACAGTAATGTGAAAAAGAAAATTGTTACCATGGCAATCTATGATGTGAAGAAATAATGCTCGGCCAACCAGCTCCCCCCCCCCCCCCCCCCCCCCCCCTCCGAATGCAATTAGTTTTTCATTACCACACAAAAATCATTCCTTGAGGCATATCTTTACCAAAACTTCTTTGGTTCCAAACTAACTGAAATATCCATAACTACATCCATAACTCCTTAAGATATATGCATGTACCAATTTTTGTAACAATATTAAGTCCAATCAGTCAGATATCACAGTAAGGAGCTATTATTGCATACTTAATGACGTTTGAGACCTTATGACCCCCAAATCTATTCAGCTCACCGGGCTCCTCAGAAAACATACATGTAAGAAGTTACGTGGAAGATATCTTGATACAGGAATAGGACAAACCTACTGACTGATGGACAAAAACAGAAAACATGCCTCCGGGAACTTTGTTGCGGAGACATAAAAATATAATTGGAACAATAACATGCCCGATAACCCAATTTAAATCGGTATCCAGAAGAAAAAAATTCTGTGATTTTCTCCCCCCCCCCCCCCCCCCCCCCCCATTTATAAAAAAAATGCTAATGCTTTTTTCTTCCAAAAGTCCATGAGATCTACAGTATGTAAATCTTTTTTAAAAAAACGTATGAAAATGTAGTAATGGGAGGGGATGGGTGACTTGCTTAAGCACTCAGATTTATAAAAACCAATTTAAAAAAAATTGTAGCACTCACTATTACCCCTGCATTAAAGGGATACAGGTAGTTGATTTCTGTTGCAGAGGGGGCTGCACAAAATAACTTTTTGTGAAGAAAAAAAAGAGTGCCAAATTTGAAAGAACATGCAATTAAAATGCCAAAATCGGTTCAGAGACTGCTGAAATATTCATAAATATAACGATTTCTAATATTTGTGTACCAAATATTTGATACAGGCAATTTGAAAAAGCCGTTGAAAAAACAAAATAGCACCTTTTAGGTTGTATTTAGGTTGTATTTCAGCCTTTGCTGATGTTGGATTTTTTGTTGACTTTGTCATGTTGGTTATTTAGGCACAACAAGCGGGCCCATGTATTGTTATTATTGATTAATTAATTAATTAACAGTTACCATATTCTATTGAAAGTGGAGCTGAATTGGTATGATCATTTTAGCTAAATTTTGGGGTCTTTTGGGGTCTGTCATGTATACTTTATAGTTGTCCAACACACAGTTGTGATGACATCCGCCATTCTGTGTTGAAAGTCCTTGGGGGTGTTTCACAAGGACTAAGATCGACTTGAGTTGGACTTGAACTATGGCAGGCCATTCATGACACAAGTTCCTCTAACAATTCCTGGCATTGGTTTCTCAAGGGACGTGCAAATTGTGTTCACAAATTTCCCTTTTTTTATAGTTCATTATTGAAGAAAAATTTATTATCTAAAGATCATAAATGAGAGACTAATGGAGAGAGCAACCAGAGGCATTAGTGGCCTGCCAAAGTTCAAGTCCAAATTGAGTCAATTTTAGTCTTTGTGAAACAAAAACTTTGTGAAGTCCCGATGACATGAAAAAGTCACCAAATTCCTTAAAACAGCTGATCTGCGACAAAAGAAGAAATACGCCTGTACTTTGCCTTTGAATCCATAGTCAAGGGGAAGGTTTGTACCAGCTCGTCCAGAGTACCGAGTTGCTGTTGGGAGAGTGGACTGCCGATGCTGTCAACATTAACCTGTCTCAGGTCTCCACGCTGCAAGAGTTCATCAGCCAAAATTCCTGGATGCGGATCTTCGTGATTTGAATGCAGCTGAATAAGGTGATGGTTTTGAAAAAATAACTGCACTGGAGTGCGGTTCCTTTCAGTTGAGATGCTGTGGCTATTGTGTGCAGCTCTGAATTCTTGTAAGTGCTGGTTGATTTGTGGAAGAAATGTATAGTGGAGGCAAAATAGATCAGTGCTGTTGTCCGCATCGAGGATTCCTTCTTCCTCAAGGTCAAAAAACAGTTGCTTGAATACACTAACTACCTGCTGATTGATGTCATAATTTAGCCGCTCTACACGCTCATTATGGACGGAGCTTCCAACAATCACTGGTCGGCTTTCTTCCCCCCTCTCTCTGATCATGGCTTCCCACACCTTTTGATTTTCCCCACCATGGTCAGAACGAACCCGAAGGGGAAAACCATACTGCTGAACTGCAGACTCAAACAGATGGAGTACTGTTATAGAGCGATTATTAGTGCTGCAGTGAAGATATGGAATGAGGCGGGAAAATCCATCTATTGCAGCATGAATGACAAACTTCCATCGAATGAGCTTGTGTGTCCCATCAATATGCCACAAGAAATTTGGGCATGGGACAGAGTAGACCCTTCTTGTGACCGTCTTCCTCTTCCTCCTCTCAACACCTTCAGGATCAACAAGATGAAGTGCATCCCTCAGTCTTGACCTTTGCACTTTTATGTTCCTGGATCTAAGGTGGCCCATAAGATATACCTGCAGGAAAATATGATTAAAAAATTAACATTTAAATATACACAAAAAAGTTTTTAAAAAAATACTAAAACTGCTTATGAAATAATAAACAGATAATATTATAAAACTCCATTTCTTTGCCATGTACATGTACCAGTATATCATTTATCTTTCTTTCACTTGATGTTAAATTGAGAATCCTATCTAGTACTTAGTAGATTATGATTATAAAAATTATCACATTCATAATTTTTGATAAAAAATGTTTGATACTAATGTTTTTAAGAAATGCCCTCTTGTGTTTAACTGCTGCTTTTTTAATGATTACAGCTTTCATACTTAGTACCTATGCCTTCTAGGTATGGTGGAGTTATAAAGTCAATTAAGTATTAAGTTATTAAAGATGTATTTGAGTATATGTCAAGGTCCACTTAAAGGCCTGGTCACACAAAGACGTCGCACGGCCGGCGCATTGAAAATCAGAAAAAGTCACGAGCCCTACTTTTTTCAGGATTTGGGAGAAGCTAGCGATCTGACACCGAATGCATATCGTGTTGCTAGCTCGCTGCGCGTATACAGGGAGTGTGCTCTGCATATGTCTGGCGCTGGTCTACCGCGCATGTTTGGCGTCCTTTTGGCATTCATGCGTCGAGCATGCTCAAAAAATTGTGACGCACACAGCGAATGACGAGTGTATAGCGTTGGTCCAACGCGCTCCACGAGCGAGTAACAATGATGACGCACACCTAGTGAATGACAACGCACTGGCCATAATTGTAAATTTCCAACGCGCGGGCCATGCGTCCCCCATGCGTCTACTATGTGTGACCGAGCCTTTAGTGACTAGAACTGTGATCTTATCATCAAAACCTAATAATAAGTATGTGTTTGACTGCAAAAGATTATTCGACTGTATGTGCAGAAACCTAGATCGACATATCTATCATGATCATGGATTTTTTACTGCCGGCCATTATAAAGAAACTGGTTAAAAAACAGTTTTAAGATGTATCCTAGACTTGTAACAAAGTTTTTGACACATACGGTAGTAACCCTTATCAAGAAATAAGAAAGGAGAAAAAGGGTGAATACACATAAAAAAAAAAAAACTTGCTGTGAGTAAGAATTGCTTGAATTTTTTTTAGTGATTCAAGGTCTTCTCTTAGTCTTAGCATCTGCTCCAGTACCACAATCATATGTACAACTCACCTCGCCAGCATTTGGATGAGAATCATTCACTTCTTGCACCAAAACTCTCAGAGCTTCATCAGAGATGTCTGTAAAGCGCTTCAAAGCTTCCGGATGAGATAATCTCAGGGACCTGTAGACAGTTGGCCTGCTAACACCAAAATGATGAGCGACATCAGTAATTGATAAGCCAAGATCTAGCATCTGCCTTGCATGATGAGTATCAAAGTCAACTTTGGGTCTCCCTGGAACAGCCTAGAAAAATATAACCAAAAAATATATACCTCCCAGTAATTAGACTCTTACCACAAGCCAAGCCTCCCCTCCCCCCCCCCCCCTCCACTCAGTTTTATTGAGGGTACGCATAGATCTATGCGTGTTCCCAGCCAACCCCCTCCCCTCCTCTTTCAGCAAAAGTCTGGTGTGTAAATTCAATACGGGTCGACCATTTTCTTTTGTTACGAGCCAGAGATTTTGGGAACACGCTAGTTATGTATCCCTCCGTTCACTGAGTGGGGGGGGGGGGGGGGGGGGGAGGCGGGAAGCCAAGTGATATTTGTGAACAACAATTTGTACAATAGATTTCCTACAAAATAATATCACAATTACAATTGACCTGTTTGTTTAATATATTTTCATTTCTTCCCTTGTATTTGATACGCAAATGTTACAAAATTAAAGAACACCGATCTGGAGGGGATAGTTTATAATTGTAACAAGTTCATGTAAATGTCATCTTGATTGAGCTTCAACTTATAAAAAGAGGGAAAACTAAACAGAAAATTTACTGCAGGATCACACTGTAGACTCTACTAGTGACTACTACTAGTACGTAGGCCTACTAGACTAGTGACAGTAATATGTACACTGTAGGATAGACCTATAGGCCTAGGCCTTTACGATGTACATACATGCCAACATTTGAAAATCAGAAATCTGTACAAATTATGCTATTTTCAGAAAAAAGAGGAACAATCCTAACTCTCCTATTCAATACTACAGACAAATTTGTACAGGAAGAGGAACACCTGCATTAAAATGATAATTATCTTCTCCCAAAGAGAGGAATGTTCCTCTTTAATCTAGCTAGGGCCTACCAGGATTCCTTTTTTGTGTCAACCATCAAGGACTGGAATAACCTCCCAACCTCCATAGTAAACAGCCCATCATTAACCACTTTTAAGAACAATCTACTTAAACATTCCCAATAATTTGATTTGAGTCAACCCACACACAGCGTGCTCTGTCTACAAATACGTTAGCGTGGATGTGTCTGGAAAGGACATTTTGCTGACCAAATCATACAGATACAGATACAGAACAGATGGCATGTATGGATGTAGCTAGACCTATCAATACTCAATAGTGACTAGACTGTCTCCATGCAACTGCAAGTCTGATCTGGTTCCATTTTTGTTGTTGGTGTTCTTTAATTTTCTTCTGAACCAAATATGAAAGAAGTTAATCAACGGTTGGACTTAACGTAAATAAAGCTTGATTCGATCATTGTTTCGATCAATCAAGTGATCTAGAGTCTACATGATATAGTCTAGGTCTAGACCTCTAGACCTAATTTTCAGAGATAGTCCCGCCCGAAAGTTTGGGTAAAGGATCAAGGAGTGACTGGGTAACGTTGGCAATCGAGCTGAAATATTTTTCACGACGATAAAAAACGAATCAAAAGTTCGAGTGTAGATTACTCCTAAATTCATCAGATATAACAATTTTAATACACTTCATAATGTACAGACAAAACAGCAGATTCATACTATCAGCAGATATGTTTATAAATATGATTCAATTTACGAGATTTTAACGTAATTACAGCTGTACTCACCATCAAATTTTTAAAAGAAAACCTCGAACTCTCACTCTGTGTGGGTGACGTCATACATTAACTATGCATGCAGTGAATGTCTTGTCTTCAGGCAATTGTACATAAAAAAATTCTATCACAGATAAAATAATTTTTCTTATTTCTTATTAAAATAATGAGGATGATTACAGTTATCTTTCATTATACCTAAATCTGTATACAAATGACAAGGAGAATAGTGATACACAGACTAATTTACCGCTCGTAGAAATTCTGAGAGGAAAGCACAAAGAACACAAAATGGAAAGGTGCCTGGAATAGAGAATAATAATAGCAGTCAAGCATATGAATATTCATATTATGGGCGTTAACGACCATTGACATTTGCATACACAACCATTATTTAATATATAATGGAAATGCGCTTTTCATTATATATTATATAATGGAAATGCGTTTTTCATTATATATTATATAATGGAAATGCGCTTTTCATTATATATTATATAATGGAAATGCGCTTTTCATTATATATTATATAATGGAAATGTGCTTTTCATTATATATTATATAAATGGAATGTGCTTTTCATTATATATTATATAATGGAAATTTGCTTTTCATCATATATTATATAAGTGGAATGTGCTTTTCATGATATATTATATAATGGAAATGTGCTTTTCATTATATATTATATAATGGAAATGTGTTTGTCATTATATATTATATAATGGAAATACACTTTTCATGATATATAAATAATGGAAATGTGTTTGTCATTATATATTATATAATGGAAATACACTTTTCATGATATATAAATAATGGAAATGTGTTTTTCATTATATATTATATAATGGAAATACACTTTTCATTATATATAAATAATGGAAATGTGTTTTTCATTATATATTATATAATGGAAATACACTTCTCATTATATATAAATAATGGAATGTGAATTGTAATTGTTTATAAATAATGAAGTCTGAATTGTAATTATTTATAAATAATGAAAATGCGTTAAGAATTATATACAAATAAAAATGTACATTTACTTGCATTATATGTAAATAATGATTATTATTTGTTAAATAATGGTTATATAACATATAATTTGTCTAAATAATAGGTTTACAAACGGCGCCTCATAGGTGGCTGCATCCATTCATTCGTGTCTTGGTCCCTTGCTTCGCTGGCTGGCTGGCTGCGCTACTCTTGGGTCGCTCTCTGTCTGTGTAAGCATCGCATTGTAGCCCGGTGCGTTGGTTGGACAGGGTGATTGCATTGTGGTAAAGATTGCCCTCCATATGTACATGTATGCATGAGGGACTCTGACTAAATGACTGGCCGACTGATTCCCTCACATGTATCAATGCTGTATGAAGCAGCTGATCTTATCGTAATCAGTGTAGCAGCATGTAGTACTTACTGTGAATTCATAAGGAGGTAAAGGCCAGCTATTGCTGCTTTCGTTGTGGATAACACCATTGGAACACCATTGGAACTACACTGTGGATGCTTATTGTGGATTTACTTACTCTAGGGCTTCTGGAATTCCTATCTGTGATTTTCTTACACACCAACCAAGAGATCGGCAACAGAACTGGATCTTTCTTCTGATTGGCTTGATAGTACCCTTCAGATGTATGCTTTTGAGTGTAGTCACTGGATTACATAGGCTTGTGACCCCTGACTTGACTTACAGTCAACCCCTTATTAATTTAATGCATGCTGTTTCTGTTCATGATACCATTTAGTTTATTACTTGGACAAGTTGGTGCAGTTCAGCATCAGGAAACGGCCCTTTGGCTTCGTGCTTTATGACCGATATCCAAGTAATTTCTTGAAGCATCATCAATTACACAGAAACCATCATTGACCATCATTGACCATGGCATGTAAAGTACGATGTAGGACTTGACCCCGTAACCCCGTAACCCCATTTTATTTGTAGACTTTGTGGACCTCTCTGTTTGTCAAACCACCATTTATCTAAACCAGAAGACTTATCCAAGACAGGAAAAAGGGGATCATATTACTGCCGTTTATCTACCTTCTGACTGACATCTTATGAAAAGTTGGGCCATTTTCTTCCGGTGCTGACAGTAAAAGAAAAGTTTGAAAATGGTATCGTATCAAATCAAAGCTACTTTTTTTAGCTAGACAAAAACAGCAAGCTTCTGACTTGCGGACCCTTATAACAGCGGTATTGTGGATATACATGGTATTTACGAGATCAGTATGCAAGGATTGAGCAGGATGGACGGGCGGTCATCGCACATGCCGCCACCAAAGGAGGTAATTCAGTCATTTTAAAGAATTATAACAGTTGAAGATGTTGTTTTATCTGTGAATAATTTTTATCAAATGCTAAGATAAAGCTCAGGTTTTCATGTTGAGTTGAGTTTTTTCATGTTTGTGTGGTAAGAAAACACAAATCAAGTTTTAGCCTATGGTGTTTATTGTAAATCTTGACTCCAATATTTAGTGTTTTTGACACAAAAAGCAGAAATCTGACAGAGAATAGATGTTCAGTTCAGTGTTTCAGTATTTTGTTTGATGAGGTAATATATTACCCAGTAGATGTATGACATACATGTAGATGTGTAAGTGAAGTCGTTGTGTAAAATGTATGGTTTCAATTACAAAACTTGACTCGTACATAATTTAGTGTTCCTAATAAGCAGCAGAATTCCAACAGCCGACTTACCAAAGATGATGTCATGAAGATTTAAAAGAGCCATGGGAACAACCGAATCCTATCTGTTCACGCTTTTGTAAACTCCATGTTGGGACATGTAAATCACTGTATTGGACAATTTAATTTTCAACCTGACTACTTTTACATTGTTATCGGGCATGGTTAGTTCACATTTGTGGAATCCTGTCGTTCACGTCTGGATGATTATGACTGCATGCGTTCGCTTTGGGTATAATGTGTCATCCTTTCATATTGATTTTTTATTCTCACACTCCATGTGATGGATAATATATCGTGGCTTTTCTCCTGCTGTAGAAATTGTGGTTTTCCTTACTAAACTAATACAAAATATTACAATACCAGCTGGATATTCTAAAAGTATACATTGTTATACAATGAAGAACAAAACATACAGGAGTTTATTGTGATATACCTCTGCAAAGCTACAAAGATGGTTTTTGGAAACTGGAGAACAACTCTGGTAAAAAAAAACTATGAAATTAATCAAATTCAATTCTATGAAATCTTGCTAGTAGTTGTACTTGATAGCAAATCCAAAAAGTTCTCCTGGGGAAAAAAGGCATTTCTACAGTTATTAAATATTATATTTAAACAGTAGCTCTCAGTCATATTATTGACAATTCATTGTGGAAATTGATAATAGCATCATTCTAGGAAGAATCCACCTTGCATATTTTAGTTGGTGTAATGTCAGACAAGCACCAAGTAAACTTTTAGGTTATAAAAACAGATTTTGCATTAATAAAAGCATGCATGGAACTTGAATACATTAAAACTCTTTTCTTAGACTTTAAAATAACAGTGTCAAGGTTTGCCCAAAAATTAGTACAGTACTGCATGTACTTGAAATTTGTTTTTCTCTTTTTGGGGTGTGTTTGAAGGATGATGTTGTCAAAATATTGATGCAAGCAGGGCTGTATTGCCTCAATGTGACACATTTATTATCCGTACCCAATTGTTACAACCTTTTTTACAATGACAGGGTCATGGTATTTCATGGTAGTTTGGGGGAGGGATCTAATGCCAAAACAGTTTTTTAAATATATATTTTTTTTCTCCATTTTTTTTTGTATCAACCACATTCATGTTAGTCTGCAGGTGCAAGCCGCAAATCCTTGTCAGTCGTTGTGCGTAACAGTGTCTGCATCATGAGACTACAATTGGCTATGTACTCTTTGACACAGCCAGAAACTGATGGATGTAGGCTCTGCTCAAGGCTTTAGGAATTGTGGTAAATTGTCAAATTGCAGTGTTTTCTTGCAGACTACATTCATTTCAAGGAGTGTTTTTCAATGGAGTAGCTGAAAAAATAGCCTTTCAGTTTCACTGGAAACCGTGATTTGATCATTGACGGTTGCTTGACCCTGAGATGCAATTGTGCACAAACCAGCTTGTGTCCCATGTGTACTACTACTCTGCTAGTCTGAAAAGGTAGACTGAAAGTCTAAAGAGTAACTTACCATGATCTAGATTCTCAATGGCAAAACATACTTACATGTGTAAGCTACATCTTGATTTCAATCCATTTTACCTTTGTTTTTTTTCTTCCATCCTTCATTTATGATGAATGTATGTTTACTACTGTTCAATGACCTAGACGAATTCAACCCATTGTTACAACTTTTAAAGCGATATGAAATGTAGGCCTACATCTTCTCTTCTCAAAATCAGTTCTGCTTTATTAGTGATCTAAATTAGCTGAGCATGTACCAACAAATATTTTTTTAAAACTTCTACTTTTAGTTTGACACCTTTGAAAAATATAGGCCTACATACATGTATTCCACTAATTCCAGTATTCTTTATTTGACTTTTCTTCAATATGCCTCTTACGCCTGTGTTCCAAGTCTACTGGCATACATGATCATTAAGTGGCAAACCACTGGGTAACCTTGTTCAGTGTGCTGAAATGGTGTGGATATTATTTCCATATCTGATGGCCTTGTCTTTTTGTCAGCATTTGCCAATTTGAGGCTACATAGTGATTGATTCCGCAAGAATGAGTTCATCGTGCACCTGCTATTCATTTACCTGTTCAGAGCTAATTGGATAATGTGGTAATTGGAGGCAAGAGATTAGAGAAATGACCGGAAATGGAATAGTTCCTTCATAATAGATTTTATGGAAGGTTGGTGGTAACATTTTGTCCCAGGCTTTAAATCATATTATTCCAGCTCTATTAAAAATAATTGTTGACAGAACTTTGAAAGAATATACGCCCTTTGACACTGTTTTTATATTTTTACCTCAAATCTGTACTTCAGCCCTGTTTAGAGAGTAATTATCGAAACTTCTAATTCTCGTTGAGGTTTAGTAAAAATGGATTGCTTCAAAACATGTCAATTAA